ATCCATTCTTTTTCTTTTCGCTCTGATAACCTTTTTGTGTTCATAGAGCGATTTTTCGAGTTCCCTGAGTGCCTGTGTAGACCGGAATTCAGAATGAAGTAGGTTTTTTATTTTTATTTTTTATATATCTAAAGGTCCATGTCATAGTAGAGGGTGGATGCTAGGCCTCGGGAGGTGCCTGTCGTCGTACTCAACCAGTGAGGAGGTCAGATGGCTTGTGACAACCCCAAGGACAGTCTTCCTCCAGGGGGCATCATTTGTGACCTATTATATCCTAATCTTATTGCAAGTTGAGCCCTACAGCGGTGCGACCCGGACCTCTCTATCTAGACCTAGACCTACATGCTTTGGTATGGAGGCAGTTGGCGCATTTTGCGTCTATGATGACTCGATGCCATAAGCTCTCCATTCTGGTATCTATGTATTTTTTTATTTTTATTTTTAATCTTCTGTATCGTTCCAATTTTAACGGAGGTCCCGAAGGACTCTAGTGTCTACGTACATAATTCAGTCAATTCTGCTTTTTCCGTGTTAACCAGTCATTCTGGAGTAGCTGTTTTTTCTTTTTCTTTCCCCCCAACTAAATCCAGAACGTTCGTGGTTCCGTTCCCCCAGCTAGAACTCCCTTCCCTCCTCCCTCTCTGTTCTTCCACCATTGCTGGTCTTCTTTTTCTTTTTTTTTTGGGGTGGGGGGAGGGGTGTTGGCTTGGGAAAGTCCTCCCGCAGGGTGGGAGGGAAGGTGGGCAGCAGGGGGGGAGAAGAACGCTTGCTGGTAGGGGGTCTTCTTTCTTACCTATTTGGTCTCTGTGTCACCTTTAAGTTACCTTTTCTTTCCCATTTGGTGTGATGGCTGACGAACTGGAAGCATTGTCAATCGCTGGATATCGTTGATCTCCAAGGAGGGTTTGGTTTTCCATGACCGATTTTTCCAGGTGGCTTTTGCCTGCCCAGCACCTTCTTCTTTGTTTTGCTTCATCTGCGAATCTCAAGCGTACGTCCGTCCTGGTCGTGTTGCCGTTTTTGTTTCTTGGTGGAGACGACACCCTCCCTCATGCCTTTTGCATTTTGCATTCCTCTCCCTGTCCCGACGTTCATTGGGTTCCTAGCCCCTATGGTCCGGTCTTCTCATCCTTTATCGTCCACTACCGTCTTCCCCCGAACATAACGCACCCTAAAAATGAATGTATACAAGTTATATTTCCGGCCAGAGACGGCCAAAATAAGGGTGCGTTGTGTTCGGGGGAAGGTAGTAATGTGTTTGAGGTTGAGGTCTGAAGAAACACATCTGCACGCATGTCTAAGGTATTACACCCTGATTGTGCCCTTACCTTTGCTTGTAATGGGCTGTCTTGCTCAGTTATTGCCTTTCGCCGTCGTTCACTTTCACGTCTGCTATTTTAAGGGGTGGATTCTGAATTGTGCGTTTTCCATGCTCTCTCTCTCTCTCTCTCTCACACACACACACACACACACGTGCCCGCTGACATGCATGCACACATACACACACATAGATACATATTGCCTGCCCATAGAGAGGGAATAATGACTGGGGAAACCTGAGAAACTTGCTCAATGCCACTCGCTGATGGCCCACCTAAGATTCGGCGAGCATGTGGTTTGCATGCTTTGTGTCGTGAGGATTATGAAGGCATAGCCCATGCAAGTTGTTGTTTTCATACCGTATGATGGCAGTCAACATTGCACTCATGTACGGCAATGTGACTTGTCATGTCCAATTTGCAGACAAGGGCTGGAACGGTAATGCTGTATAATTGTGGTCGCTGTGCCTTTTGTGGTCCTAACATGTAGGAGCCACACGGCCTGTGACGTATGTCACACCGTGCCAGTGCGTTTGTGATCCTAGCGTGTAGGAGCCACGTAGCCTGTGACATATGTCACACTGCGCCATTCTATGCAGCAACTGCAACTGCGAGAATTGGATGCGGTGCTTCCACAGTCCATGCCGGAACCGGTCCTGTCCGGTCTATAGGGGTGGCCACTTACCATAATAGGCAATAAATGCTGCTCAACTCAAAATCTTCTGCGACCCAAACACTGACTTGCCTTATGTGCCATTCTAGAGTACTCTGCTCGAGCGGTGAGTATTGAGAACCCTCTGAAGTTTGTCTCTCCTTCGTTCCATTCTTTGCCCCTCCACTCCCCTCCTCTCTCCCCCTTCTCCCTCCTCACCCCTCGCTTCCTATAGGACTCAAGCCCCTGCCCCTATCCCTTCCTTGGAGTGGGGATCATTAAGAGAACAGACAAAATCTATACCCTCCCCGTTACTCTGCCTCCTTTCATAACGTGCAAGTGGGCCGTTATGGCACACAAGGATATGTGCAGCTGGTGCTCAACCACAATCGACGTGACCAGCCTTGCATGTGACAGGCACAGTAAAAGGGGAGCTGCAAGAACAAATAAAAGGGTTACACAAAATAAAGCCCGAAGTCAAGATAGTAAAGGAAGGGATACAACGATCGATTCTACTCTATGTTGCTTGTTGTAGAGGTTAAACTCCTTCATTGTTGTATTGGCCCATCTCAAGCGTGCTTCATTGTCTGCTATAGAGGTAAAGCAGGTTCGATTTTGGATCTACTCATCTGGGTGGAACAGGGGATGTTGCGGTGAAAATCCATAACACACATAAACATGCACATGCACAGATACCCATGCAAATGCACATATACACAGACACAAAGTTATACACGCATAAATATTAAATACACGTACATGCACACATACACACATACACACATACACACAATACACACATACACACACACATACACACATACATACACACACACATGCACATACACACATGCAAGAAGAAATAAACCGGGTACCCGAAAGAAAGCCGAAGTTAAGAAAACTAAGAAAGGACTGTACAAGGAAAAGGCAATGTGATGGGTTTACTGTGCCACATGTTCGCTATAGAGGTGAATCTGGTTCAGTTTTGGCTCTGCTCATGTTAGTGTGCTTCATGTTGTTTGCTATAGAGGTGAAGCTGTTTCAATTTTGGATCTGCTCATCTGGGTGGAAAAGGGGTTGGTGTGGTGACAGTCTACAACACATTAACACAAATATACAGACATACACATACACAGATACACACACGTACACACACATACACATACACGCATACACATGCACGTACACACGGAGACACATACTGAGATGCAGACACATACACATGCGCATACACCCACACATACAAATACATGTACACATACAGATACACATACATGTGCACATATATACAGACATACACAACACATACACATACACATACACATACACATACACACATACACTTAACACAGATATACAGACATACACATACACACACATACACACACATACACACATACACACATACAGACACATACAGACACATACACACACATACACACACATACGCACATCCACATCCACATCCACATATGCATGTACACATACACATACACATACACATACACATACAGATACGCATACATGCACACAGATATATAGACATACACATACACAGACACGTACACATACACATACACATAAACATACGCGTAAACGTACACATAATGCACACGCATACACATGCACATACGCATACACATACACATACGGAGACACACATACGCGTACACCTACTTATTATACACAGTCACGTACACATACACATATGCATGCATGTACACACATTCACATACACGTACATGCACACGTACACACATACACGTACACATACGGAGATGCATATACATGCATACACCTACACATACACATTTA